GACCACTACACCACGAAGGCACGCTAATAAGGCGGGAGAAATATCTTAGACTCTAACTATTCCTCCCTTTTTTTTTTTTTTTTTTTTTTTTTTTTGTTAATTCTATTAACCTCTTTTCGTTCGGTGTCGCATCTCATACGTTCGGTGTGTTTGTGCCCGTAAGGTCGTCGTGAGACGCTATGAGACGAAGTGAAAAATTCCATCTTTAAAACTGAATTCGTCGCTACTCATACGTCGCTTTGAATTCCGCTATTATTTTTGTATTTCTGAATACTGCTAAGAGGCAGCGCGACTAGTCCTAGTCCCTGCATAATTTTCTCAGTGAGATTTGCCGCCTTCAACATCTGTTATTGAATATCCGCGTGATATCTCTTAGAATTTCGACTAAAAAAACATTCGAGATATTTTTTTATAATTATAGCCAACTTTTTTTTTTGAGAAAGTAAGCAAAAGGTTTTTTTTTTTTTTTTTTTTTATTAAATAAATGATTTTGCTTTTGTGATAAATGTGGTTTTTATACTCTGATGTCCAAAACAGGCTGTGAAGCTGTTTTAACGGTAAGGTTGGTAATACATTTTCCAAAGCATTTTCTACGTCATTTTAATAATTATTTTCACGTAGATATTTATATTAAACACATCAAAACAATATAGTTAATAAATATGACATCACATTGTATATTTTTAAATTCAAAACTTGAGTGCGTTGCAGGGAAAACCGGTGATCAATGGACGGGAAATCGCATACTTGACTACCCGTAGATTCATCAAAAACTGCTTACTGTCATAAATATTTTGCATTTTCGAATTTATGATAAAACATAAATTAATTTTCAGCACTAAGAAAAAATGCTTTGTTTGGGTCAGAAATTTGAAAAAGAAATCCGACCAAGAAGGGGTTAAAACGCGACCCCTGTCAATTCATTTTACGGCTTTTATGCTGTTAAGGTATTTCTTCCACCTTCTTGACGTGCCTCCGTGGTGTAGTGGTTCTGCACACTGGGCCGGTATTCCAGAGGTACGTGGTTCGACTCCCAGCTAAGGCGATTGCTCATTTTTTCATCTTGCCTGCTTCCAAAAAATTTCTAATGTCTCTACAATGCTAACTTTAAGTTTACAGAAATCGGTATATCAGACTACCTTGTATCTGACTCTATGTGAGGTAATGTCTTTTTTTCGAGTAGGTAGGTAGTAGGTAGGTGACGGAAGACGGGGACGCCTGGTGGCTACCAGAGATAAACAGGCATGTGTCCCTCGCCTTCCACTATCTAATGGCAACAACTCCCTGTGGCCTCAAGAGTCCACACCGGGAGCTTATTAAGGGTACAGGAGTTTACATGGCCAAACAGGGGCGACTTATTAACATTGCTTGACTAATTACATAATTACAGGTATGAGACTTGTGGGACGGATTTACAGGTGAGGGGCTCAGAGCTAGGTACTAAATGTATGAAAACACAAAAACATGAAAATGTACAGAAAACACACACGCAGAGGGATACACTTGATTAACACTGAAGACTTATGACAAATAAAACACTCTTTAAAAATAATAATACACGTATACCACATGTCAGGTACATATTTGGCCTCATTGATCACATATACTGTACATTGTGGGGTGTGCCTGCTCCATATCTCTGGTTAATGAGCGTGCTGTCAAAAGAGATCCATTTCTAGTACTCACGACATTAGCGTAAGTTGACTTTTCTTGCGTGATTATTCCTCTAACATATGACTTCTATTGGCCCACCAATGGCCGAGCGGTAAAAGCCGCTGAATACTGGTAGTTCGGTCCGGGGTTCGAATCCCGGCGAACGGGCTGGCTGCATGGGCGTTTTCGTGGTTTGCCCCATGTGTAACATGGACACAAGTCAGTTTTCCTTAAAAAGGCCTCCACGGGTCATCCCTGCCTTTCCGTGTAGTGCCTAAGGGCAGAGCAAGTAATAAGTAAATATATATATATATATATGCCTTCTATTCTCACTAATTACCTTCTAGGTTCACAATTTTTAAATTCATTTGTGTCAGTAGGTTGACAGGTTCATAAATTGAGATTTGATGTTTTTCACTTTTTTTTTTCAAGAATTTCACTTTCTGCTGGTAGTCTACCTAAATTTAGACACTCATGCGCTTCTACAGCACAGTTACTGTCGTTAAAGAACTCTTGCCAAAGAATGATTCTTTGCTCTTGCTCCTGTGGTGTACTAGCTGTATTGTCCTCTTCTGTTTGTGGAGCCGATAAGGTTTCTAATCGGGAACTGGTCTCGATCTCTCCATAGTTTCTATTTCTGCCATTTGTACCAATATAGCCGAAATATCGCGCAAGGCGCGACGTGTCCGGCTCATGAAGCAATGCCCAATGGGCACAAGACGTTAAATTTTCTTGACAATTAGGCCATTTGTATCTTGTGCATGTACTGCTTATAAAGGTGTAATGGGAATTTGAGACTTACACTAACGGAACTATTGCAGATTCTGTAAAAGGAACAACTGCGGAAGCTCCCACATCACCTCATTTTACTTGCACAGTTCTGTTTACATAAAATAACGGCGTATCACTGCTAAAAAATTTAAAAGTTACTATTGTGTTTACGTTTAAAAATAACATGTTAGTATATCAGGTTCAATGTTTCGTCTTACTTTCTTTGGGAACATGCAAGGACCTGACTCGGAACAGGGAGCTTACTAAAGCTATGTTCAATAACTGTGGGAAGTAGACAGGATACACAAGAAGGGTATACAAAACCCTTTATTTTTCACTCTTTACAATAATTTCCGTACTTCGGAATACAGAGACCAACTACTTGTGGTCTGAACATAAGAATATAAAAATATAACTAAACTCTAACTTAAATTTGGAATAATAAACGTGGAAGATTGGCCTTATATTAACAGGAAGGCGTATGTAGTACAGAGAACTGTTAACACTACAATACGTTTAAAATTATTAAGAGGATTAAACCTCTGGTCTGGAAGGCAACCAGCAACCGAGTAAAACTGCTAAGGTAAGCGGCCTGCTTCGACTAACGCCTTCCTCTCTCTCGCTTGGCAAAAAGCCACAACTTAAGGACTTGGCGTTCGCCAGACAAATTTGCATAAATAAGTTAAAGCTTTTAATTCTGGCCGGAAGTAGAAAATAAGAAGTGATAGTAAAGATTTAAAATAAAATAAACGTTAGTAAAACTTAAGATCCTTACAAGTACTCGCCAACTTTTGAGATTTGAAATTTTGAAACGAATTAAAAATTCGCCAAATTTTGAAGGCCAAAATAGTTTGGCGCCAACTTACCCCGCCTATAGAAGATCAGCCAGGAACTTTTAGAGTTATCATGGTTGCTGTGAACATAAATTATAGAAAAAAAAAATATTTATAAAAAATCACATTTAAAGTTCTCAGATTAACATTACGCGACATACACAATACTCTTCCCATTGCCAAACAAAAATGAGAAAATTCGTATTAAAAATTTTTTGCCAGATTCTCCAGACTAATTGAAATGCTTAAAATTATTTAGATAACAAATAACATAAAAAAGGCGGAAACTGCGCTTTTTAATTTTTTCTTTAAACTTCCTCTTCCGCCGTGGCAAACAATAGCTTCCGATTTGTCGTCTTTCAGAAAAACTGGCATATCTCCTCTTCTGATAAACATATCAAGACAAGAAAAGTTTCTTCTGATAGTTAAAAGTGTTGTAGAGACATTAGGATATTTTTGGAAGCAGGCAAGATGAAAAATGAGCAAACGCCTTCGCCGGGAATCGAACCACGGACCTCTGGAATACCGGCTCAGCGTACAGACCACTACACCACGAAGGCACGCTAGGAAAGCGGGGGAAAATACCTTATATACTCCCCTTTTTAAAGGGCCACTGGGGTTTTTAGGGGACCCAGTCGCCAAATGCTGGGTGAAGAGAATCATCATCAAAACCCTTTTTTAGTTCGGGCGCCACTGTAGCGACATTAGGATATTTTTTGGAAGCAGGTAAGATGAAAAAGGAGCAAACGCCTTCGCCGGGAATCGAACCACGGACTTCTGGAATACCAGCCCAGCGTGCAGACCACTACATCACGAAGGAACGCTAGGAAAGCGGGAGAAATACCTTATAGTGTGGCCTTTAAAATGTGAAATAAAAAAAAAAGTTGAAAAAATCGGACTTTTGAACTAGGTCGGTTACTAAGCAAACAAAAAGCTAGAAAATCGCTAACAAGTTTACTCCAGAGTAAACTTTGAAATAGACTTTACTCTGAGTAAGTGCTAGTGCCTGCTAGCAAAACGCGTTGTCCTGAATGGAGGGTTTTTTTCGTCCTGATGCTATATGATCTCTCTATACTACAGGAAACACTCTAAACAAAAAACAGGAATTTGGATATAACTACACATGGTCAAAATTCATATAGATCTCCCTATTTTATCAAAAGTTGAAAGTAGGAATTGCTATAGAAAAAGTTGAAATGGAATGAAGATGCGACCTGCATGGATATCACAAAATTATATACTTGTCTTTATTTCTGGTTAGAAGAAAAACACTGCATCGTGGTAGGTCAGTAAAACAATGATTTGTCACATTAACAATTTACACGAAGGATCGCACATTCAGAAATCCAAGGAACAACATTGCTAGGTATAATTGTAACTAGAATTTTTATATAACAAAAATGTTTTGTCAAGAAATTGCAAAATGCCTTTTATGTACCAACTGCATTTCTATAAATTGTGAGTTCAGTGACATACAGTTTTATTTAAAACGTTTCTGACTTCTGAAACTATCCTTAGATTTTTCAACACAAGTACCAGACTACAGCACATTACATAGGTCCTCGCAAAATGGTAGCTGACGTTTCTAAATGGCATAATGTCTAAACTACTCACTAACATACAATGATCTGAAAAGAACTGCAAGGTTTTTTTGATTGGTTACTAGTGAATTACATGCAAAAACGAAAATGGATAAATGTCTTAAGATCTGTTTCCCCTTCTTCTGTGTGCTGAGCTCTGGAATAGGTGTTTTCGAGGCATCTCGGGTTTTCTTACTTTGACAATGGAAGACGCTAAACGAGTGTGTTTTACAAGTTCTGACGATGAAAGTTTCAGTTCTCTTAATGTAGAGGTTTCAAATACCTCCATCCGTGAAGTTTCACTTGCTGAATTGGATACTTCTGAAAAAATAGATACTGCAGATTTGGAATGTTCTTCTGCAGAAGTCGCAACAGATGAAACATCGAGTCGTTCGTTGGAAAATGTATCTAACGTTGATGGGGTACTTGCAGAAAGAGAAAACGTTGGTAAATTGTCTTCTGATGGCGAATTTTGTTCGGAAGAGAAACCCGCAGGAAATGAATCGTCAAGTTCTTCGCCTGAAGTTGTATCTGATGAAGAATCATTTTTAGAAAAAAATGTTAAATCGACATCTGTAGAAAGTACCGTAAGTGAAGCTTCAGATGTTTCGACTGAAATTCCATCTGACGTTGAAAGACCGACTTCAGGAAGCTCTAGTGTTGAATCGCCCGATCTCATTCATAAGAGTAGAGAAAGTTTTGAACATCTAGATTACGAAGCAGAGATAACAGAAGATTTAATTTCATCGTTGCTGAAGCGTTTCAAGGATAATCAATATGTTGCTTCTTCTCAACATGCGGTATGTTAATTTCATTTTTAAGTCTTCGTTTCAGTTTTTGGCATTTACTTTGAGTTTCAGTCGAGTCATATGTGCACTGTAAACCTGAAGGCTAAAAATTTTCGGTAATTTTCTACCTTTTTGCATTGTCTTTTAACCAGTTCTAAATTAGACTAAAAATGGTTTTATGTTCTTCTGTTCTTAAGCCTTAAAAATAAGCGTGTCGTATTACAAACGTTATTTAGTACTTGAGTTATTTTGCAATCGCATTAGACGTTGCCAAAGTTTCAGAAATCCTCAGGTTGTGGTAACCATACGCATAATTGTTCTTTAGGTGACCACATTCATTTTAAGTTACAATCTGAAAATTCACAATTATGTTTCGTTTCATAAAAAAATCGCCAAATTTTGCCAGGGTTGTTTCGCTTATACCAAAGTATCGGTTACTTAAAGTACGTATAACTTGCAAATTCTAATTACGAGTTTCGTAAAGTTGAGTAGCAAGCCTTATTTACTCTTCTGCATTGGAAGACCGTTCAAAATTAAAAATTCTATTTGTCCTTTTTATAACTTGCAACGTCCATGAAGCGTTAAATTCCTCTGCTACAACTTTCAGCAAAGCTGAATTAACCAGATTTTACATTAGAATACTGGAACTTAAAATGCGAATTTTAACATGAACTCTTTTGTTTCATTAGGTCGTTATTTATGAAAACCGAATTTTATTCAGTTTATGATCATTTAAAGTTTTAAGCGAAGAATGTGTAGTATTTTAAATTACTTCCACCGATTTAAAGTCAACATCTTACGCCCTTCTTTCTTCCCAGATATAATGTGTTTGAGTATTAAGTTGAACTCTTATCGAAAAACTTCACATTAATTTTAATGCTATAAACTGGTATTCTAGACTTAAAGCTCTCTTAAATTTTAATGTTTATTATAAGCTTTTTAATGGGATAAGTGAAACTGAAAATAGGTATTAATGAGATATTCTACCCTTTCAATAAACTTGATCTGTTAGTATACACAATATAGCTACGTGCAATACTGCCAGAAGTCCCTGCACTTATTATTGCATTGATGCTGGGCTTTCAAAAGCAAAAGCTTAAACGCGCCGCAAGTTTTGCTTTTAAAATTAATGAGTTTTCCTGAAACATCCTAACATATTGGAGTATGAAATTAGATATTTCAGCATTGGAAATGGAGTATTTCAAAGAATTTAATTCCAGTAATTGCGTTTTACACTTGTCTTTCCAATGCGAGAAAATTCTTTGAAAACTTCTTCTGTAACAATCCCTGTATATCGTACACAAAACCAAATGTAAGTAATTCTGGTTTAAAAAAATACGCTATTTAAAGTAAAATTATTTTCTAAACTAGTCTTCAATTCTTGATCTATGAACAAGTATAATACATGAAACTCTAATATCGTGTTCATTTTTCTTCCAGGAGGACTGGGATATAGTTTCGAACTGCATAGATCTCTTTCGGAAAAGCTACTTCTGCAGAGTAAATATTTTTCTTTATTTCAGTGTTCTTGAATCATTTAAAACTAAATCTGTCACGTTATCAAAGTTTGACAAAACGAAATTCATGTATGTCTTTATTTCAGTTGGTTTCTAACGTTGGAGGAACGTTATGTGATAACTACCCAAGTGTAATCATCGTACCAGTGAAGGAGAAAAACGCTAACGAGGAAGAATATCCTGTCAACCATACGTAAGTTGATCATATTTGATGCAATCCATTTACTAAATTTTTAATGGGCATTTTATTAAGATTCTGAAATACATTGGAAGAGAATGGTACTGTCTCCTGTTTGATGCTCAAGGCTCTAGTTAACTGCAGACGCGTCTTGCACTACCTGCGACGATAAATTGCTTGAACTTGTTCTGATTAGGTTCGGACTAGTGAGATTAATCGCAACACTTCTAGTGCGAAATACCATATTCTTTTGCACGTGTACAGTTAAATGTTTACTTGTTTAAATAACGATGTGTTAAAACACTCGCATGCTACTGAATTCAAAGCTATTGGCTGCATACATCAAACTTTAGAACTTCACACTCTTCCGGTACGACTTCTAGGAGTCTCGACCAGTAAATTTCGTTCAGGTTCTTGAGGCCTTTTGCGGTAAAAAATGGAAGAAATGTGTTAAGATACCACATTCGGAGGCGAAACGTCCAAACTGAGGATACGTCGGGCGTTTAAGGGGTGTTGGAAGCTACAAATCTCCCAAAAATGGTGGTCGTCACAGAAAAAACAATAGTAGGGGTTCGATTACATACAGTTTGCTCTGTGCTTACTTCTGAGCTTACTGCAATCCATCTGGCTTTGACTTACCTTTCAAAACAAAAGTACATAAAATTTATTATCTACAGATTCCATGAGTGCCTTAATGTCATTGAAAAATCACGCTCAATGTACTCATCCAGTTGCAATCAGAATCCTGAAGTTGAATCATTCTTTAAAAATTCGGGGATACCAGATTCTATATTCGTGAATCCCTGGACACGTTGCCATTAAGGGGAATGAATTGGCGGATATTGCAGCTAAAACTGCAACCACAATGTACAATCTTCAGATTCCACTAGCAGACATCAAAGGGTTTGTCAAAAGCAAAATCCTCAGCAAATGGCAGAAGCAATGGGATGAAAAAGTATATAACAAGCTGAGAAATGTAAAACCCATCATTGGATACTGGCCATGTATGGCTAATAGAAAGGAAGATGTCCTCTTGACCCGACTGAGAATTGGCCATTGTCACCTGACCCATGAGTATCTTCTGAAGGGAGAAGAGAATCCCAGCTGCCCAAACTGCAATGCAGATCTGACGGTCCATCATATCTTGGTGGAATGCCAGAGTTTTAATTATTTTCGCCAAAAACATTTTAATTGTTCAGAAACTGGACTTAGGAAATTTAATTGGAAAAGCACATCATCGTAATTTGTTTGTTTTTAAAAGATATTGGCTTTTATAATAGACTTTAACCTGTTTTTTAAGATATCAGTTCTTATCATAGACTGTAATCTCTGTTCTTACCTAAGCTGGAAGTTTTTACAAATGACTAATTGCATTGTTACCATTTGTCTGGTGCAGATAACCTTGACAGGTTTTGTGCCAAATTACAATAATCCAATCCAATCCCAAAAATGGTGGTTTGGATTTTTGTATTCAAATTTTCTAAAATTTGAGCATTTCTGAAAATGCCATGCTTTTATCTCTATGAAAACTAAAACAGTAAAAAAATTACTTTCACAATTTATCATCGAAAGATTTTACCAATTGGGCTTTTTGCAAGGAAACATTTTCTCCGAATGTGATTTTTTATACTCGATGTACCTTTTCTCAAACTACTGCTCACGTGTATGCCGATTTTTTTAACTCGTAATTCTTTTCCGGTTGCTGTAATCTGTTGTCATAAACTAAGGAAAAAATTTCTGAAATTTTTTGTGAAAAGTGCTAAATTTTGTTATGTTTAATAGAATATTCTATAAGTTGCTGTAACACTCAAAACGTTTCAAAAGCTTCTTTCAGTGTAGTCATACGTTTACTTTAATCACAAATTTCAGACGTGTATCTAGCAAGATTTGAGAAAACGAACATCGAAAATGGCCACTTTAACATTGTCCGTATAGAGCATTCTGACTCCAAGTTTTTACTGAAATTGTAAAGTCCATATAGATGCAGAGTCGTAATTGCGACCAGCGGAAATGGAACCCGCGATTTAAGAATTTGTAGAATTTTTGCGGTGCTCTGTGCCGCTGGGCAGCCATTACTTCGCTTTAAAGCTGTCGGGGAAAGGAACTCTTTCATTACTTGACTACTTGAAGTTTTCTACGTAGTCTATTTCTCGGCTATCTGGAAACCGGCACGTAGTTTTTCAACTGGGGAATTTCGCATTCTGAGTTTTTCAATCGGTAGAATCGTTTCAAGTAATTTCTGTACGTTTTCATTTAAAACCCAGCTTACTGCATCATTCAAAGCTCTAGCTTTTTCGCTGTAAACTGTCATCCTTTACTTCTACTGAATTTTCTTCTGATTTACTACAAACCTGGAATACTTTAAGCTGTTAAGACTAATCACATGTACCCATGGTGAGGTAGAACAGCGTCTTCCAAAGCTGCTATCATGTACTCGACTGCGTAAATGACAATGTTAATATGTTCCCAGTTAATACTGAACACATTTTGAGTTCAGTTATTTTTATTTTGTTTCCTTCTCTTAATATTAAGCTTAAAAAATATGAAAAATCCAGAAGTTCAAGTTTCGATTAACGCTTATGCGCATTTTGTATAATTATCGTAAAAATTTTTATTTTTTCGATGGCAGATACTTGTCTATAACGGCATTAGCCGCTCAAAAGGCCACAAGTGGTGGTTATTTTATTGTGGAAACACATAATAGGTGGTCATCGCTACCTCCTATGAAAAGACTGACAAATTTTACATCCATGCCCTCCCCGGGTTTCGAACCCGGGCCTTTCGGTATCGCAGTCAGGCTACCCTAACCACTATACTGTCAGGGCAGCAACTGCAGTTTGTACTCTTAAATTTCAACTGCGGATGAATCGCCAGCTTGGCGAAAATGAGAGTTAAGTATTCAGCCTTGCTGCTTTTTATCAATATTCCTTGTTCATCCATATACTTATAGCTGAATGAGTTTCTCTTGAAACTTTCCCTTTTAACAAAGATTGTTAATGTTGGCAAGTGTTTTAGGAAATCTGGATTTCAGATCCTTTCCCGCTGCCTAAAAATTTCAGAAACCTGCTCGCGGTAAGTTCTCACTTTGAGCAAGTAAACTTTCTGATTTTCTCGACCGTAGTAAGTTTCGTAAACCTAATCTTTGATTGTTTCGATAAATGAAGAAAATAAAATGACCCAATATAATTTTTTACTGATGTTACTTATTTAACGTAAACATGTTAAGAGATCAGAATATGTTTAAATGTAGTCAATACTCAACGCTAACTTATCTTTCTGCGAAACTCGTTTGGCGTGTATTGTGGTGCAAAGGAAAATGTCTTTCATTTATTTTCTAATTGATTGCAGGAGCGTTTTCTGGGGTTTTTTTGTGTAACCCGTATACCAATGACTTTTACTTAGAAAGTCCTCCATGAAGGCATCCCTCTCCATAAGCAGATAGCCCTCGAAGCTTTGCCAAATCACTATCGGCTGGCAATTCCTTTCTTTCCAGAACTTCTCACGAAATATTTTTCCATAGATCTTGTGCGTACAACCTGTTTAGAAAATCTTCACTACCTAAACATGCATTAATCTTTTCGAAAGAAGTTTCTTACTTAGGCTCTCTTGAACTCGCTTTCTATGTCAAAATACTAAGTTATTCGTGTAATTTTAAATTGAATAACTTCCAATCTATCCAAAAAGTTCTTAACATAACCAAGCGTAAATCGCCAATTTCAGACACCTTTCTTGTGAAATTTAATTTCTTATGGGAATCTGGATTGTCCACTATTTACAAAAATATATAACAGTTATTTCCAAATACTGTAAATGTTAATTTGTTATCCTGGAATTTGTTCTTAACCTGAAATTATCTTTAAACTTTGCAAGTGATATGTGAAACTTAAGAGTTGAGTTTTCGCCACACTTTGGCTTATTTTACTCTTTTCATTGCATTTAAATTGAATTTACCGCGATACTAAAAATTTCCATCGTTCAATAAGGTGTACCAATATTCTAAATTCATCGTAGCCAGCTATGTTCTCAGTTTCCAAGAGGTTATTTAACTTGTGAAACTTTTTGCACATGTACCTACATTATTTACTACGCGAATTGCTTAACCTTGTACGTTTGAACATAATTCTAGGCTAACCTTGAAAATACAGGATTAGTTTCATATTCACGCAATAAATGCTAGCTAAGGAAAAGCTCAACTGAATTCCGAATAGGCTTATTTCCGAAAGTATTCAAAGTCATTTAAGTTGTGTATACATAAACGTCTCAAAGTCTTGTTCCATAAATTGCTGTCCGCATAGATTTTTGAAAGTAGTGTTTATTTTTGTGTTTAGGGTTCCCGAGCGGTATAATCGTTGAGCACCGGTAGTTCGGTCCGAGGTAGTTTTCGCGAACGGGAGCGCAGTTTTCGTGATTTTCCCAATGTGTAACACGTATACTAGCCAGTTTCCTTAGGAAAATCCTCCAGTACGGCATCCCTCTCTTTAGGCAGATAGCCCTCGAGGATTTGTCGTAATCACATAAACCAGACTCGTGTGGGTTTCACGTGTTTCCATTACTCTCATCAAATCTAAACGCAAGTGTCCCATATATTAGATAAGCTTTAATTTTATTTCTTCAAAAGGCATTTTACTTCTGTTAACCTAAGCGAAAACTAATAACTTGAGCGAATAAAATGAAATTCTCTATATTCCTTTTTATTCCGTAAAAGTAGAATTTATTTCCTTCAGTGGCTATGTGAATGATTTCCATTGATTCAGTAAAATGAGCTGTATTAAGGCAAATAAAATACTTAGTTTAATTTCATAGAAAATGTACACTGTTTATAGTAACCGAAAAGTACTGTACAAACTGTTCAAATAACGTCAAAAACAATCTGTAAGCACAAGCAGTTGCTTGTAAAATGTGTATAAATGGGCAAGTGTTCATTAACTTAATATAACAAAATTCGCGTAGCAATTGACCTTAAAGTGGTTGGGTATTAGCCGAATATATTTAGATTGAAAGTATAACGAGCGAATTTTTACTGTTAAATTTATATAATCTTGCCCGCGTTTCACTTCCTGAAAATCTCGTACGGAGTTCTTGGGCACACAACGGCCGAGCGGTAAAGTCACTGAACACTGATATTTACGACCCGACTGCATGGGATTAAGATTCCTGGCTGCATAGGAGTTCTCGTGGTGTTCGCGGTGTGTAACGTGTGTATTGGCTAGTGTCCCTGAAAGTGCTCCACGAAGGCATCACTTGCCTTAAGCTGATGGCCATAGTGACCTTTACCATAATCTAAATAAAACAAACCTAACCTCATGAAAATTTTTTCAAAAGCTCTGTTGCATAATAACTTTACTGCATCCTGTGAAAAATGTTGGAATAGTTAGGCGTTGTACTTTATTTTAAAAGGGGTTGAACGCAGCATGTACTTGCCCCAACATGTGTCTTTCGTAAAATAAGTTTATCCCGGAATTTCACTTGCGTAATTTGGTAAAGAAATTTAATCGATTTACGAATAAGTTGTGAACAGACTATTGGCTTGTTTATTCGAAATTATTTTATGCTCGAATATGGCCCACCAGCCCGAGCGATAGACTCGCTGAACACTGGTAGTTCGGTCAGAGGTTCGAATCCCTCGTACAGGCTGGCTGCATGGGCTTTTTCGTGGTTATCCTTATGCGTGAGCATTACAAGCGAGTTTGACTTCGAAAGTCGCCCATGAAGACTTCCCTCCTCTTCCTAGACAAGTAGCCCTCGAGTGCGTTGCAGTTATCGAGCTAAATCATCTTGCTCGGATATGTTAAAAACATTCCACGAAGGCAGCTAGTTCTCGTGTGCTTTGCCGCAATCTAATCACGCTAATTCATTCCCAATTTGTGTGCTTAAGTTTGCTTCCTGCACTTGTATCATGATGCGCATTTTATTTGCAGAATTTAAACATCTGGTTATTTCAAATGAGCACTAACTGCCATTCGGATATTGAGTTCTAGTGTGTATTCGACTTATAATTTCAACTGATTAATTTGTCTTTCTATTCCAGATCCCCCGCTTCGAGGTTCGACGATAATGAATATTTCGAGTGGCTTGGCAAATGCCGGTACAGTCGAGTAAGGAGGCGATTTCCTGTTCCGGTCATCTTGATCGACGGAAAAGTAAGTACTACCTAGAAATTTGAATCGTGTCGGTACATTCCACTTTATCAACTTTAAAGGAAACTTAATTCATTGCAAGTACTCCATCTTGCGATGAATTAAATCTTGGCAACACAGCGGGACTTTTCACCCATCTACAAAGTTTAAATTCCGCTGGAGAACACCGGAACTCGAATCTCGTACTTCTCAGTTTTTGAGAAATCATAACTTCAGCCGGAACGCATCGGCTCCCTAAATGAAAAGGCTACGGCGTTTTTCTGTAAGTGAACCCTAATTTCGAGGGACAAATTTTATTTTAATCCGTTAATTGCTAAATTTTTTCTATCAATTTACATTAATTTCTGCGTGTTTATAATGACAGACTGCAAATTGGAATGTAAATGGAACACAGCCGGAATATGCCATGAGCCCCGAATGTGGATAGACAATCATGTAGCCTTCACCTGAAAATAAAATTCACATCCACAATAGTTGGTAAATATATTCCAAACCCATTTGAAAACACGGCCATACACAGAAGTCTGAAATTATGTACATATAATTAGTTTTCTATAAATGTTAAAATCTTAACTCGTAAATTTCACTTCCTGTAAATAATGCGGTGTCCGCCGATAACATCGCGACGAAAACGTCGCGGAGAAAACAACGCAAGTCAAAAACGTCGTGCTACAAAACATCGTTGGAGAACATCGCAAAGAGAAAACATCGCAGTTCTAAAACATCGTGGTACAAAAACATCGACGTCGAAAATAAAGCGATTCGAAAACTTCGCAGTTTAAAAACATAGTCGTCGAAAATATCGTGGTAAAAATTAAAGGGTCTACAAATCATCGCAGGACGATAACAATTCCAATAACGTCTATGTTCAGGCTTTAATAATTGTAAATGGATATTTCCACAATGATTTGTGAGCGCAAGATGAAAAGGATAATTTTTACTTTCATATTCTTTATTAACTAATAAACGTTTCCTGAGAAAATAAAAAAGCTTAGGCATAGAAAATTAATGCAACTTAAGAACTTAATATAATTTTAAACCGACATAGTTAACTAGCAAAGGCCATTAATAAATCCTTTTTTATAAAGTTTTTACTGGTAATTTTTCATGAAAAGTATAATCTATAAGTTGCATTTAATTTTCTATGCTTAAGTTTCCTTCTTACTTTTTCAGCAAAAATTTATTACTTAATAAAAAAATGTGAAAATAAAAATTATCCTTCTTTACACCTTGCGCTCACAAATCATTATGGGAATATCCACTTATAATTATTAAAACCTGAAAAAGCATGTCTGCGATGTTATCGTCATGCCATGATTTGTAAATACTTTATTTTTTACCACGCTATTTTCGACGAATATGTTTTTAAACTGCGAAGTTTTTGAGCCGCTTTATTTTCGACGACAGTGTTTTGTATACGATATTTTAGAACTGCGATGTTTTCTCCAACGATGTTTTGTAGCACGACGTTTTTGCCTTGCGTTGTTTTCTCCGCGACGTTTTCGTCCGCGATGTTTTTGCCTCGATGTTTTCGGCTGTAACCAAATAATGCTCTCCAGCTCACTCATTTAACTACTGCTCAACTTGCGCAAAAGCTTCAGAAAGGTTTAAGCAGCAATCTCTACTTTTTACGATCTAAATTTCCGCTACTAAGACAAATCCCCATATAAGTGGAATAATAAATACGCCTTAAAAATCTGTTGCAACTTCTGAATGGTAAGCTTGTTCTTCTCTCGGGCACAAACCTTCCTCAGAGGTTGGGGCTTTTAAGCAAAGAAAAGCCCTCGCTCACATGTGAAACTTATTCTCCAGAAAGGGCGAAGGATTTAACTGAATAAATTTTTCATTCTTAAAAAAAAATTGAGTTATATGCTGATCGTGCGTGTGCCACGTTAATGAATTTCTACTGGAGATCTGTAGACGTCTTGAGCGATGTAACCAAACGCGGGGTCCTACTGTCACTTGTACACAAGGGTCTTGCGTTTGTTATGTTATCAAATTTTATTCGGGTTGATTTTCTATTTGACGGCTAGAATTGTATCGACGGGGCATCGCGATCAGAAAGTCTTGTTCTTTCCTCTTTATTTCGGAAGCTACATTTTCGCGTAAAAATGACCTTCCGTAGCTTGAAGCTGCTTCTAGAATTTGATATCCTTCGTGACGCTTTAATCGTTTTATCTTTCTGTTTCAAAATTGTATTTCTCATCCCTGTAAAATAGCCCATTATGCGTGTAACCAGGGCTTCGTCTGATGGAGATCAGCTGAACTACTTTTTACCTTCTGTGTGGAATCTTAATTCCAGCTAGAGCACGAAGTAAGACGAGGTCTGAAAATTTTATCTAATTTTATTTGTCTCCTTACTTTCCTTTTTATTTTGGTTTAATTACTGATTTTAATTTTTAATCATTTTATTTATTATCTTGATTCTTCCCTGACAGTCTAGTAGGGCCCCGGCACTTCTAACTTAAAAATTAAGCCCTGCCTCTCTAAGAGCCAAAGTGTGAAAGATGTTTTGAAGACTTTCTACGATTACGTTTTCACAAGAATTGTCAAAAACGTAGTGTTAAACTAACGTGAAGCAAGCGTTGGTAGCTTGGGTAAGAAATATGCCTACACAGGCTCTTCGCACATTTTTCAAACGATTTTCATTGTAATTACAGAAACATTTTGCCGAAAAATTTTAAGTTTTAAATATTCTGTTTGATAACCCGTATTCTGCACTATATTTATACACATTAATTTCCAAGACTGTAAAGCCTTTTGTAGTTTCGGATGAGGTATTTTATCCCATTTCACTAGAACAGTTTTTCAAAACCTCGGGAGATGGATAGGTTGTATCTTTTTGGACTCTAATTATCTTTTGGAAAGGTGATAGATCAGGATGTTTAGTAAGGATATGAGTAAACTATGCCCTTGATGCCCGTTTAGTGTTCCCTTTTTCTAGGAAATGGTGGATTTTGCTGTGTTGCTGCTTCTTTTGTCTTGATGCACATCTATTGATTAATAATTGTGTGTAAAGTTATTTCCATGTGAAATTTTGTAATAAAAGGTTTTTGATAGCATGTGGAGTTGATCTTAACATTTTTCTCCACTCGTGAGTTTTGATTAGCCGTTGAATGAAAAAGTAGCAGCAATCGTAAATGCCTTTAAAAAAACTTTCTTTAGATTTTTTGGAACCATATTTTAAGTTTCTCCTTTCTGCGATAATAAATGGGTCTCTTATGCTAGTCTTAAGTGCACCCAAGATTCATGTATTATGACACTTTTCTATTTTTGACTTTATAAATGTTTCTCACGGCGCATTCAGTTTTTCGCTCTTTTAAAAGTCAAATCAGCATTAATCACTTTGTGTACAGTTGATGCTGAGCATTTTATTGATTTTGCAACTGTCTTTTACTTGGTGGATTATTTTTTTACATTAAAGCTTACTTTTACAACATTCGAAACGCTCAGTTTTCCCTTGGATACGTGTTTTTCCTCTGTTGACAATTATTACCTAGCATTGTTGCTTTCGCAACTTTTTTAATATAAGTAAGAATAATTTTCCTCGGAAAGAACGTAAACATAGCCTTCCATCCATTGCTTCTTGAAAAGCGACATTTTACATGAAAACAACTGAAGTAGCAGGCGATAATGTTTACTCAAAAATGCAGCTGCTGTTAAAAAAATTTCAAACCGTTAGAATTTTCCCAGCAAAGCAAAATGGTCTAAAAAAGGCACGAGTAGGCTTCGTATATTAACAATTCCATGTCCTCTAAAACTGAGGTACGATAAATAAAGTTCTTCCATCATTTTTTATGGAATACCCCTTCATGCAATATTACATTGCTCGGCAATACAATCTGCAGATTTTCTCCTTCCAAAGTTCATCGCTGATTTCGTAAAGTCTGAAAGCAATTGTCTTCTGCATCACTTATCCAAACTTTTTCTATCCAAATTAACCTTTCTGCACATGTTCGATTAAATACTCTCGACATTGGAGTAAATCACAAACTAATGAAATCATCTACAGGTGACGGAGAACGGGGACGGCTGTTGTTTAACATAGGTAAACAAGCGTGTGTCCCACGCCCTCCCCTATCTAGGAATAACAACTCTCTGGGGCCCCGTGAGGCTGCCTCCGGAATTTATAATACAGATCTAAAGATCAATACATGGCCAAACAGGGGCTGAGGATTATTGTTTGACAATGGTTGCGTGACAATAACTTTGTGGGTGTGCATGGCTGTTGGAATAACAGATACATAAAAATATACAAAACAAATACAAGAATAGATACATACACAGGCAAACAAATACTAACAGATACGAACATAAGGATGCATTGATATTAAGATAAATATGAAGAGACACATATGTAAGATAAAAGAGTAAAAACAAGAGTAATAAATACTTATAGAGTCATATGTGTATTGCTGGTATCCTTGGGGTTGCAAATGTGCTGTGAGCACTTAAACATAGAGATGAAGCTATTGGTACCGGATGTCGAGTTATGGTGCCAGGAGTTAGAGTTCGCTGAAAGTACAGTCTGCACTATAGTTCAAACTTGCAAGAGTTCAGGCTACACTAAAGTTTAGTGTACACTGTGGTAAAATCATCTACAAGCAGATATTTTTTCAACATAGAAACAAATATAGGAAATACATCCCTCTATATACAAACGGATCAAAATCCCAGGATCATGTTGGCGCTGCTTTCGTCACGGAAAAAACAATGGTAGGGGTTCGATTACATACAGTTTGCTCTGTGCTTACTTCTGAGCTTACTGCAATCCATCTGGCTTTGACTTACCTTTCAAAACAAAAGTACATAAAATTTATTATCTACAGATTCCATGAGTGCCTTAACGTCATTGAAAAATCACGCTCAATGTACTCATCCAGTTGCAATCAGAATCCTGAAGTTGAATCATTCTTTAAAAATTCGGGGATCCCTGGACACGTTGCCATTAAGGGGAATGAATTGGCGGATATTGCAGCTAAAACTGCAACCACAATGTACAA